GGCCAGATTTCATTGTTTCTCATTGCCATGCAGTATTCCATTGTATAGATAAACCACATCTTCTTGATCCATTCGTCAGTTGATGGACACTTAGGCTCTTTCCATGATTTGGCTATTGTTGAGAGTGCTGCTATGAACATTGGGGTACATGGGCCTCTATGCATCAGCACTCCTATATCTTAAGGGTCCACTTTAATCCAGTGTTACTTCATCTGAACTTGATTATACCTGCAAAGACCTTAATTCCAAATAAGGTCATATTTACAAGTACAGGGATTAAGAATTCAACATAATATTTTGAGGGGCACAATTCAAACCAGGACATGTTCCTGCTGTTATTAGGAGACCGTACCACAAGGGCAGCGAAAAACTACCCTTCACATATGAAGTTTGTGCCACTCATTGATTTCTCAACTCACTAGCTGTAACCCCCTAGAAAGAAAATGCCAGTCAGTATTAGGGGTACAGTTTTTGGGCATGTACACTAAAATTTTACTGGATAATAGAAAGTTTGACATGTATTGAACTCCTGCTTTGTGCCAGGTCCTCTGCTTGGTGCTAGAGATACAAGAAGCCAAGGGTGCCCATCTCTATTTGGTAGAGCTCCTTCTGGTACCCTGGACTGGTTCCATGACCTTGCTAACAGTAACAGCCTTGTATTAATAAAGTGGGCAAACAAGTTATCCTCAGCACCTTAGTCAGTTAAAGAGCTTATAGAGACTTCCATTAAATACACAGTTTTGTTACATACTTCTATGTCAACAAAATCTGTAAAAGTTGAGGGGATTACATCCTTGCTGAAGAAGAATGAATTTTTTTGAAATTAATTTTAAGTCTTTGGAACACTAGGGGAAAGCAAAATGGAGAGCAAATCAAATGGAAAAAGGGGAAGGTTCCTGTCAGCTGTTGTGACTTCCTTGCTTCACTGACCCTTAACCCCTCACCAAGTAGGAACCAGAGATGTTTGTTTTGCTTGGGTGCCCCAAAGTGCAAACACATTTATCACGAACACTTAGAGTTGCCATTGTGGGAAGGTCCTTATTTCCAACCAGTCTGGATATGTTTTCTACAATAATAGAATTGTTTTAGAAAGGAAAGAAATTACCTTCTGTGAGAGTCAAAACACTTCATTTTTATAAGTGTAAAAAGGCTATAGAATGTGACCTAACCAAAGCTAAGTAACTATGGTAGTCACTACTGCAAGCTCCATAAGAGAAGTGACCTTGTTTTTCATCACCTTTTATTCTGAGACTATCATGTTTGCCTAGCAAATAGTGAGTGCTCAGTAAATGTGTTAAGTGAAACAAGTTGAAGAATGGGTAAAAAAATAATGCTTTTAAGTCCTCTTTCCTTGGCCATAATGATCTCCAATTGTTAAACAGATTTAAGATTCCTAATAAAAAGCTTCAGGTTAGTCTAACATATTCAGACCTCATCATTTATCTATGTGCTATTAAACTTAATTATTTAAAAGAGAATTCTTTTAATATGTGTTCCATATTATCCAATATTCTCAGCTTCTGCTGTTAACATTTTTCTGGTCTTTATACCTTTTGCAAAATAGGCAGAGGAAAGGAACTAAATCACAGATCTAGCTTCCAGATCTGTTCACTTACTAAGCCTTTTACAATAGTTATCTGGTCCCAGCTGTTGTGCTAAATTTAGGATTTTGGATTATCTGGAAGTGTTCTTTCTGTCTCCCATTACCAAGGTTAATTTGTACAAGTAAAACTTCAGAAAGGAAACTACATAACACAGTATTCAAAAATATCAAATAAAAATCAAATCCACTAGGAGTTAACTTTTGTAGCCATTACAGTTTAAGGAACTGTTGCTGTTTGTCAGAAGTTTCATCTTCATGATAGGAGAACATTTTGCTGAAAATGAAATGTTACCCTCCTGAATGTTCTTAACTCTACAATCTTTGAGTTAAGGTTAATCATTGCAGTTGTCCATGTGATTTTACTGTACATATCAAAACATCTAGAAAATTAATATTTTTCATAATTAAAGTTTCATGTATTCATGAGGCAAAAAAAAGCAAAAACTTAACTGATGTAAAAGTAATACTGTAAAACTTTGGAAACCATAAAAGAGTACAAGACTATAAATTACCTTTATAAAAATGTTGATTTTGGGGCGCCTGGGTGACTCGGTTAAGCGTCCGACTTTAGCTCAGGTCATGATCTCATGGTTCATGGGTTCGATCCCCACATAGGGCTCTGTGCTGACAGCTATCTCAGAGCCTGGAGCCTTCTTCAGAATCTGTATCTCCCTCTCTCTCTGACCCTCCCCTGCTCACACTGTCTCGGTCTGTCTGTCTCTCTCAGAAATAAAACATTAAAAAAAATTGTTTTAATGCTGATTTATTTATTTTGAGAGAGAGCAGGGGAGGGGCAGAGAGAATCCTAAGCAGACTTTGCTCTGTCAGTACAGAGCCCATGGGAAGCTTGATCCCATTAGTGGGTGGGATCATGACCTGAGCCAAAATCAAGAGTCAGATGCTTAACTGAATAAGCCACCCAGGCACCCCTAAAATAAATCACTTTTAGATTTACCCTAATACTTTCCTGTTTTGATTCTTATATGCAAAATTATTTCTAAAACAAAAAACCCAAACTTTTTCAGACAACATCAAGAGCATTGCAGATTGGGTACTTTGTCTCTGTTTTGAGCTCACAACCCCATATGCACTTTGTCTATAAACTGAGTAGCTAATAGCTGCAGCCCGTGTTAGGACTGCTTTTTTTTAATTACAGCAGATCCTTCTCATCTGTTTGTGTTGAAGTGATGACACGACATCACCACAAGAAATGTCATCATGTCACATTGTTATAGGACATCAAAATTACAGCTCCTCAACAATAACACAGTGTCAAAAGTGTTTTCCTGCCATGAGTCAGGGTTTTAGGCGTTATAAAAGTTATTTTTAGCACAGCGCGTATCTTGGGAGCTTGTGTTCCGAATCCTACTAAAACCTCTAGTGATTTGGGAAAATCTAGAGAGGGCCTTCTTGTTCTTGAACTGCTCACTCCTTGATGCGCATGGCTGCCCTCTCTCCTGCCCCTGCTGCATTAGACCCGGGTTCCACCGTGTGCTGCAATCCACTCGGGCTCGGTCATAACCCAGAGCCAACATCCCATGTGGAGGAGGAGGAGACTATAATTATCCTCCACGTCTGGGGCAGCCCCGGGATGACATCTCCCCAGTTACCCTGTGTTCTAATAGCGCAGCTCGGATTCCTGGTCCCAGACGCGCGGCAGCCGGCTCTCAGCGCGGCCGGTGGCCGAGCAAGGCCGCAGCGCCTAGCGCCTTCCGAGCCTCCCGGGCTCTGTCAGCCCTTCGCAGCTGCCATTCCCTGCGCGGGTGCAGCCGCCGGGCACCTGCACCAAAACCCAGGCCCGGGGGCCAGCGGCCGCCGGCGCGCGGGGTGTTGCCATAACAACCGGGGTCCAGCCGCGGAGGCCGGCGGGGAGGAAGTGACGAGCGGTGGGTTGGCTGTTGTTGGGACACGTGACCCGGGCAGTGTTTTGACAGGGCAAACAGCAGAGAAAGAACTGGGCGAGCGAGGGGGATCGGGAGCTGGGGCGCCAGAGCTAGAGACAGCGGGCGGGCGAGGAGCTGGCAGAGGCGCGGGGCAAGCGGGCCGGCCGGGGCGACGGGCGGGCGAAGCCCGGGGGCCGCGGGGCTCGGGTGCAAGTCGGGCAGGGGGACGGGCTGAGCCCCGGGAGCGAAGCGAAGCGGCGGCTGAGGCGGGGGTGGATGGCCACAAGGGCGCCGGGGAGCCGCCTCGGGCTTGTAGTCTCGGGCCCCCATGGTCTTCTAACGCAGCCCCGGGGCCCGCTGCGCGCCACATTCCGCTCTCGCCGGCCCTGCGCCTCACGGAGCCTCGGGTCTGAGGTGGAAGTGTGATGTGAGCCTCTGCGCGAGCGGCGCAGAGAAGTGCCAAGAGGAGGAGGGTTTGGGACGGGAGAGGAGAGCGAGTTAGTCAGCAGAGGTCGGCTGAGGGAGCCATGAAAACAACTCTCCGGCGGGCAGAGGGGCTGGCGCGGCGCTCGGTGCGACGACGCTGAAGGAAATCCGGGGCCGCGGAGGGACGGAAAGCGCCCGCAGTGGGCAGGCTACGCCGAGCAGGGGCGAGCGCTCAGCTGTAAACACCTCTCCTCAGGCCAGACCTCAGGCCTGCCCAGTCAGGGCTGGGGGTTTGGTGGGGCCAGGGGGGCGACCCGGGACAGCCCAGTGGAGTTCGTTTGGGGTTGGGGGCTGGGCGCGAGATGACTCGCGTTTCTTTCTGACCCTCTTATTGTGTAAACTTGGCCGCGGTTGCCACAGGAAGGCTAGCCAGAGGGTAATTACACAGGTGAGGCCCTTCGGGGCGGGCGGGGCTCCTGGCGAGGCGCTAGGGGTCTTGAAGAGTTTCCTGCGCCCAGGCACCTGGACGGAGAATTTCTCTAACCGGCCACTGCGGAGGTGCCTCTGTTCCCAGCGGCGTTTTTTACAAAGGGGTTAGTTAGCTTGTGTTGCTTGAACGTTTTTTTTTTTCTTGCCTGTACCTCCAGGTTATAAATAGACCTTTCTTTTGGTTCAGAGACGCTGTGTCAAGAAAGGACACTTTGGCCTGGAGAGCACACGGGCGGGGAAGAGGGGTGCTGGGTCCGGAGGAGACGGGGCAGGCGGTGCACAGAGTTGTGCTTTTTTCAGAGCAGCCGACGGTTGCTGTCACCGCAGTTAGCGCCAGGAAGAGGCCTGTTCACAGTAGTTTTCTTGCAAGATCTGGGTGTCAGAGCCAGGCTAGATTAATTTTATTTTGGTCTCTCTTCAGCATTTTGAAAACGGAGCTGTAGCCACAGAATCAGCGGCGAGCCTGTTGAAAGAACCCACAAGTGTATTTCGCAGCACCTTGGGTGGAAATTGGATGTGAAAATGAAGCCAGACCGAGGTAAATGACTTACTTCAGTTGGATTTTTTTTTTTCCTTTCCTATGCCCCATTTTATAAATGTTAACCTAATTCTGCGGCAGGATCAATTCTTTGCTTGTTACCTATGCCTACTTGTTTCTGTTCCGGGTACCAGCTGAGGTAGAGAAGGGCACAAAGGAAGACAGAGTTAGAATCTAGATGGGAGGATGTGTTCTTCAAAAGCGTTTGTGAAGTAGTAATTTCAAGAGATGCTCTAGTGTAAACTCGAAATGAAATGATCAGGAGCAGCGTTTGTATCCGTTGCCACAGTAGTTGACGTCTTTCTAGATTCAGTTTTTTTGGTAAAATCAATCTAACCTCAACTTTACAGTTTACAAACGTTCAAGTTGAGAACTTGATAAATTGAGAAAATTTAAGACTGAGTTGACAAATACTATTCTGTTACTATTATTGCTTTTATTAGCTGACATTTGTGCTTTAGGCAAACTCTAGAAGTCTGCAAAGCAGTCCAGGGCCTTATTTAAGTGTAAGTAAATGTGTCCTTTCCTTTCTAAACCTGTATTTTCAGAATTTATGAGAGTAACGTATACTCTGGTTTTCAAGGACTTCAAAGGAATTAAAAACGAATTTATCAGTCTTCTTTGGATTAATGACAAGGACCAAGTTTAGGAGGTTATTAATATGGTAGTAGTTAGGAGTGAAGACTTTACAGTCAGATGCAGATTTTTGATTGCAAGGAACATTGTTGGAAGAGGATTACTGTATTTGGTAGGGAGTTGGACTAGATGACAGAGTTGAGACTTTAGGATTGGAAATATAATTTATCTTGATATAAATTAGATGCTCACTTTTTAAAAGATAGGTAATGAAATATTATTTCCCTATATTTTTCAAAGTGTATTCATAGAGAAATTTTCATTTTTAGTTAAAACATGGCTTTGGTGATGGTGTCTTAAAATGCACTAGGAAGAAGTAGAAAAAGCCATACTTGAGTTAGTGGTTTAAATTAGTTTCAAGTGTTTGGCTTTTCTTAAAATCAGCTATGTATGCATGAAATATTAGCAAGTGTATTGTTAGTGAGCAGGTTGCTTGTGTAGAATGCCAAGTTGAGATTTTTAGAGTGTGTCAGTGACTTTGGAAAAATGGCTCCAAGATCAGGAATTGCAAGTCAGAATAAATAAGCAAATAAAATCAAAGTCGCTACTTGTTTTGGGGTTTTTGTTGTTGTTAAAATTTGCTTTAAGGTTATAAACAGCTTAAAATCATAATATTTGCACACATCTCTATTTTAGCCAAAACTAGTACCAAACACAATAAAATGTTAGTTATATACTGATATAGATTACCAGGAAAAATATATACCTTTATTCATTAAGACTCATAATTTTTTCTCTTTAAAATTGTAGCTTTCTTTAGAATTATGATGTAAAAATGATAGAATTGCAAGTTTAGTGTTGTGATTATATTTCATCATGATGATATGGGGCTTTAGGCCCATGGCCTTAAAGTAGTATCTTTTACTTTGCCAAATAGTATAGAAATACAAAAATAAACTTGTCACAAAACACACTTACCCTTATTCTGTGAGTGTGGTCTTTTCTGTTCTATTTTTAAAAACTGCTGTCACAACCCATTGAATTGATTTCTTGACCTGTAGTTGGAAAGGCACATGATGGGCAGTACTTAGCTAAGTGACAGTAATATTTCATTTTTTTCCACATTGGTGTATAAGAAACTGAGTGAATTCTCTAATTGAAACTTTACTCTTTAAATACCAAAAATATTTTCAACTATAATCATGATGTGTGGATAGACCTTTAAAATGAGGCTAGAAGAGCCCTACAGAGACATGTAAATTTATGAGTTTTTTGGGGGTTTTTGTTTTGTTTTGGCCTCTAGGTTAAATCATGTCACCTGTTTTGGTTTTGATAAAATCTGCTTTTTAAATTCTAATGCTGTCAACAGTCTTTGCTGTTAATATGTTTATTCTTGCTTCCTTTTAATTTCACTGCTTTTAGTGTCTGGGCTAGAGAACTTGGTAACTATATTTAACATTGAGTTCTCTATAAAATAAGAGGAAATAGGAGAGCACTTCAGATTTCTATGAGAATCTGAGTACAGTGTGTGAATTTTAGTGTAGAGAGACTCAGATATTTGCTTAGCAGGATACAGCTGTGCTTCAGAGAGTTTCTATATAGGTAGTTGGGTGGCTAGTTAAAGAAAAGTTGGTTTAAGTGAGGAACCATAAATATAACAGCTTTAATTAATTCACCTGTCTTTTTATGCAGGCTCAAGGTTCTTTTGGGGGGTTAAATGGGGTCAGTTTTTCAGAGTTTCATATGCTCTTATATAAATCACACCAATAATGTGCATCTAAGGTTTCTAGTTTGTTTTTTTCTAAATTTCTAGTTTTGCTTTCTTAAAAGTGAAATAAGACTTTGCAGAGCAGTCTGGGGATGGTATCTTTTACACTTAAAAACACTTTAAAATTATTAATGTTTCACGCAGTTTTATATATATCTTCTGTATACAGAAGTCAACAGCAATTTGTTTTAGAAAGGGGGGAATATATGTTCATCAAATATGTTCTTTCCAAAGCATTCAGCAGTTTTCACAGAAATAACCAGTTTTGCACTCATTTCATTGATTTATATAATAAATTAGTTATTATACATAATAACTAAATAAATTAGTTATTATACATAATAACTAAATAAATTAGTTATTATACATAATAACTAAATAAATTAGTTATTATACATAGAGTGGCATGAATAGCTTTTGAGAACAAACACCAGATTCTAATTAACCGGTAGAAGTAGAAATGTGCAGACACCTGGAAAGTACCCTGTTAGTAGCCAGTGTGCTTTTATGGAGGCCGTGGAAAGCATTGGTCCATCTTGCTCATTGATTAAGGGCAAGTTGGTTAGGAAAGCTTCTGTACTTTCAGATAATTAAGATATGAAATGTAGCTATTGTCCTATATAGTAACGATAGTTCATAGTATTTTACCATAGTCTAAGGAAAAAAAAATTTTTTTTAAATTTTTAATTAGTTACGTAACATCACTTGGGCAGCACAGCCAAAGATGAGTCTTTGATGTTATCACTGGCACAGGATTTGCGATCAGACTTGTTTGCATCTTTGTACCTTTCCTTGCTAGCTAGGTAATCTTCCATCAAATTATTGAATCCCTTAGAGTTTTGGATTCTGTGTACAATGGGGATAATTCTAATTTCTCATAGTTGTTAGAATGAAATATGACAGTGGTTAACACATAGTAGATTTTAAGTAAATGGTACCTTTTATCATGTTAAGGCATTATAGATGCCTAACAGTTGGCCAGTTACAAAATAATGTTTGAGGGGCGCCTGGGTGGCTTAGTTGGTTAAGCGTCCGACTTTCGCTTAGGTCATGATCCCGGGGTTCGTGGGTTCGAGCCCCATGTTGGGCTCTGTGCTGACTGCCAGCTCAGAGCCTGGAGCCTGTTTCAGTCTGTGACTCCCTCTCTCTCTGACCCTCCCCTGCTCATGCTGTCTCTCTCTCTCTCCTAGAAATAAATTTAAAAAAAAGTTAAAAAAAAATTAAAAAAAAAAAAAAAAGAATGTTTGAGGAAAGAAAATAGGGGCACCTGGGTGGCTCAGTCGGTTAAGTGTCAGACTTCGGCTCAGGTCATGATCTTACAGTTCGTGGGTTCGAGCCCGGCATTGGGCTCTGTGCTGACAGCTAGCTCAGAGTCTGGAGCCTGTTTCAGATTCTGTCTCCCTCTCTCTCTGACCCTCCACTGCTCACACAGTCTCTCTCTCTCTCTCAGAAATAAATAAAACATTAAAAAAAAAGAAAGAAAATCAAATGTGCGGTAACCTCATACTGTTTTTGTTTTGTTTTGCATTCATAGTGCTCAGTCTGCTAAAGCTCAAGCAGATTTAATTGACTTTTAATATATAGCCATCTGAGAAAATAGAAAAGCTATGAAAGTATGCCTGACATATATGTATAATTTCTTTATACTGTCATTTGTTATAATTATAGCTTAAAATGTAGGGGGTGGCATGGCTGGACTAAACTTAGTGTGAATAGATTTTTAAATCTATTAAATGTGTTAAACTGCTGACAAGAGCTAGGTAGCTGGGAGGTTCAACAATGTTATTCTATCTTGTACTCAAGGATGTAAATTTTGGACCTGGTTTTAGATATTGAATGCCCAGTATTAAAAGTCTAAAGCATGACCTTTGCATAGAAAACAGTTAAAACACTTTATGATTTTAACATTTAGTAATTGTTTTATAAATGTCTAGTATTTTTGAAGTCCTAAATATGGTATTGCATGAAAATCAAAATCTTAATTTTTTTTATTTTATTTTTTAATGTTTTATTTATTTCTGAGAGAGACACAGCGTGGGCAAGGGAGGGTCAGAGAGAGAGAGATACAGATTCTGAAGAAGGCTCCCGGCTCTGAGCTAGCTGTCAGCACATAGCCTGATGTGGGGCTCGAACCCATGAACCGTGAGATCATGATCTGACCTGAAGTCAGATGCTTAACCGACTGAGCCACCCAGGCACTCCAAAATCTTTTTAATTTTAAAGATAAAAGTCAGTTGCTATGTTTTATGTTTTGATTCATAACACTTTTTTCACCAGACATTTCTAAGAGTATTTGACTTCAACTGTTATGAAAAACTAAGGCCATCTATAAAACCCTATAAATCATCAATAAATTAACAATTTAAAATATTATATTTCGATTCATATTTGAAAACACATTATTGATTTATGGTTTTTAAATAAACACTATTAGTGTGAAACATGTTTCACAAACAAAATACCAAACAGATAGCAAATACCAAATAGATTTGTTTTTTTGAGCTTAAAACTGAGAGGAGTGCAATCTTAGTTATTTCCCTTGTTAGGGATTTGTGTCCCCCCTCCCCAAATTCATGTGTTGAAATCGTAACCTCCCCAAAGTGATGGTGGGGAGGGAGTAAAGCCTTCAACAGGTGATTAGGTTGTGAGGGTGGTGGCCTCATGAATGGCATTAGTGCCCTTACAAAAGTGGCCCCAGAAAGCCCTTCCACCCTCTGAGGTCATGGTGAAAGGCAGCCATCTACGAGGAAGCCAGCTCTCTCCAGACTCTGAATCTGCTGGTGCCTTGATCCTGGATTTCCCAGCCTTCAGAACTGTGAGAAATAAGTTCCTTTTGTTTATAAGCCACTTAGTTTATGGTATTTTGTTACAGCAACCTAAAGAACTAAGAGACTCCCCTCACCCCTTTTTATTATATTACAAGTTTAGGCTTTAGCCTTAGTGTAACAGTGGCTTATGA